GTATTAAGAATACCAACAATAATAAGTGTTGGCAAGGATGTGGGGAAAAAGGCATTTCTGGTGGAACTGCAAAATGGTACAGCCAATGTGGAAAGCAGTATGGAGAATCCTTGGAAACCTGGGAATGGAATCACCATTTGACCCAGCTATCCCACTCCTTGGTCTATACCCATAGGGCTTAAAAACAGCATACTACAGGGACACAGCCACGTCAATGTTTATAGCAGCACAATTCACAATAGCTAAACTGTTAAATCAACATTCATGCCCCACAGTAAATGAATGCATAAAGAAAATGYGGAATGTAAACAATGAATATTACTCAGCAACAGAAGAGAATAAAATCATAGCATTTGCAGGTAAATGGATGGAGTTGGAGAATATAATGCTAAGTGAAGTTAGCCAATCTCAAAAAACAAATACCGAATGCTGTCTCTGATATAATAAGGCAGATTTATACTGGGGTTGGGAGGGGGAGCATGGGAAGATTAGATGAACTGTAGATAGGGCAAAGTGGAGGGAGGGGAAGGGAGGGGGCAAGGTGTAAAAAAGATGGTGTTAGGAGATGGATATCATTACCCTAAGTACATGTATGAAGACACAAATGGTGTGAATATATTTTGTATACAACCAGAGATATGAAAAATCATGCTCTATATGTTTAATATGATTGTAATGTATTGTGCTATCATATATAAAAAAATTAGAATAAAAAATTTTAAAAAGTACCTATCTACTAATGATAAATCCCAGCCTAATTCCCTCTTAAAATTGGGAGCCATCTCGCCACAAAGACGTGAAAAGCTAATTTCGGTTTTACTATAAATTACTGCAGTTTCTAAACTTGCTTGGAATGCCTGCCCATGCCTTGCACTCACTCATGCCTGGCTTTCCCTGACCAGATAACCATCCTCTCTGAAGCTCTAATGACCCTCATAAATTCTGATGTCAGGGCCAGCTAAAATATTAAATAGCCTTTGTTCTATGCTTGTCAAAATTTTTTTATCTGTAAGTTCTCAACCCCCCTTTGTGTAACTTTCTGTGCTATAAAGCTGTGCTCTAAGACAGCTGCAGGGCTGTCTTTTGTTCCACGGTTTTTGTTGGGAGAGGCAGCCCTGCTGGTAGAAATTATAAGCTTGCTTTAATTTGATTTCAATTGGAGTCAGTGATCTTTTCTTTGCGTCATTGGTCTAACACTAAACAGTATCAGCAGTAGGAACTATCCAGAAAGTTATGGGCAGTTGCTGCCCCTGCCAAACCCTTATTAAAAGATGGCTGTATTTCATTATGGCCAAGACTCTTGCTATATAAGCATTAAGTTGTTGACTTTAGGACAGTTATCTGGACCTCTATGACTTCTAGAATAGGGGTCCTTAGAGGATTTCAGTGCACATCTTCTTTGTCCAGACCTAGTGATGGATGCCAAAGTTCTAGGAATTCCCCAGGAAACCCCCAGACATTATTGTGGCTTCTAAGTTTAAGGTAAAATATAAGTTTAGTTGACAATTAAACTAGAACTTGTCAAAGTTTCTAAATGAGAAAGTTGCTTATTTAAACTTAACCCTTAATGTTATTGAAATACTGTTGGGAGCCATTCTCACACGTGATCGGGTGCCTCCCGTTGAGGGTCTGAGGCACTTTGGCATAAGTCGAAGTTTTTCCCGGCCCTCTCCTGATGAGAGAGCCCATCCGTGTGGGGGTGTGCCTGACCACTGACCCCGGGGACCCAATCGCTGACCCTGACCTTGGAGTGCAGCCCCCCCTCAACCTTCATTGGATGGAATTCTCCCCTGAATCTCTGGTTCCCTAATAAAAGGCTACTCCCCGGCGTGCTCGCTCTCTTTCTCCTGCTAGCCCTGAGTAATCCTTGCTGCCCTGCTGGGCGGCTAGAGGAGCGAACCAGAGAGGGGAGCCGTCTCGGACCTAGCAATAGAATTAAGGTAATTGAGTCTTGTGTTTTTATTTCGATCTCGTCTAACTAACTTTATGCCTAGAACCTCATTAATGAAACCACTGCGCAGGCCGCGTGGTAGAAAATACTTTTATTGAAATTAATCTCTTTGTTCAGACAGTTCTTCCTTCAAAAAGAAAAGCAAATTCTGTACCCAGTCTACTTTAATTTTAAATTCATATGTATCTTAAAATTCTAATATTAGTGGTTATTTATATATTTTTTTAAAAGTTATGGAACTACAACATTGTTGTTCAAAGGCAACCTTGCTGAAGTCTAATATACCAGATTAAAACAGAAATGCTCTGTTTTARAGAGCCTACCTACCTTACTTTCCTTTTGTGTAAAATACATTTGTAACACATATCTCAGTCTAGGGATTAATATCCCTAATATAAAGGAATCCTACAAATTTATAAATAATGATTATTTAAAATCCCAATACAAAAATTTGACAAAAGATAAGAATTGGCAGTTCACAGAAAAGAAAAGCAAAATAGTGAAGGGAATGCAAATTGAAATACATGCTATTTTTCATCTCTTAATTGACAAATACTAAAAAGAGAGCATATCTAGTATTGGTAAGAATGTATAGATGTATAAATGCATTTTCATACATTTCTGATAGAAATATAAATTAATATTTTAAGAAAAAAGTTTATAAAAAAYTAATAAATACATATATTTATTTGATCTAGGAATCTTGCCTTTAGAAATAACAGCTCCAGAATCTAAGGATATCTAAAGATAGACACATAATCATTATTTGATTGTGATGAAATAATCTATTCAGCAATAAGATAAATGGTTGAATTATGGCACATTATAATACTCAGCTATAAAAAATAATGTTTGAATAATATTCACTGACCTCAAGAGGTATGCAGATAAAATGGAAAAATTGAGTAATTTACATAGAATTTATTTTATTTTGTTTATTTATTTTTTGTTGTGATGGGGATTAAACCCAGGGAGGGACTCACACATGTTAAGCAAATGCTCTACCACTCATTCCAGTATTTATTTTTAAAACCATACTCTTGGGGGTGGAGATATAATTCAGTGGTAGAGCATTCGCCAACCACGTTACTGTAAGGCCCTGAGTTCAATCCCCAGTACTGCAAAACAAAACAAATAAACAAAAAATTGTATTCTCTCTCTCTCTCTCTCTCTCTCTCTCTCTCTCTCTATATATATATATATATATATATGTCTTTTTTTCCTGTTATGTGTTCATATTAACTAAGAGGAAAGTATGGAAAGATATATCCCTGTTGTTAGCAATGGTTATATTATGGAGCCGAAAAGTTGACCTTTTCTTTTCATTTTAGATTTATTTTGTTACAGAGTAAGTCCATTTTTTTTAAATGGAGAAGATTTAAATAGAAGAGAGTCAGTCTTATAACTAAGTGAATTACTAGAGTTCATAACTATTTGTCTAGAAAAAATTATGAATTATAGATTCATGATCACCTACTGAAATACTGCCAAAATTTTAAGACTTAATTATGTAAAATGAATAAATAATTCAAATTCACACTGTTGTAAAAATGTCCAGATTCACCCATTTAACTATTTAGATGAGTGACTCATCTATAGGCCTGTTTCCCACATTAATGAAGATGGAGAAGATGATGAGCTTCATCATTAATGAAGCAGTCAACCCTACATCTCCAACATTTCCCTTTTCCCTCTTTGATTTTAATTTTTTTTTGTTAATACTCTTTATTCTTTTAAGTCCAGTCTCCAGTCTCCCACTCTGGATTATAAGTCCCAGCTCTTCCATCTCTTCCCTAGGAAATTAGTTCTTGAACTGTACATATATAAATACTTTACTTTTCTACTTTTCCTTTGGATACTTTTCTTTGTCTTAATTTCAAACCAAAGGCATCTTGTCAAGCATCACAGAGGTATTTACTGGGAATTCTCACTGTGCTAGAATTCAAGACAAAGTGCTTTCAGAATGTGAAGAAAGTAGGTATTGTATGTTTATTCAAGATATCTACCTATGTGCATTTAGTGATAGCTAGTGTTTTTCATCATATTTTAGGACACACATATTTTATAACATGTCCAAAATCAAGTATATTAAAAATGAGGGTGTGCTATGGCTTAATTGTTAGCTCCATGTCTTAACAATGGTGTGTCTTATCATTGAAGGGCACTTAGATTTAATAAAATACAGTGGAGATAGGGAGAAATGGAAAAGGCAGAGTATAATCAGAATACTGGATTTGACCAAAGCATTAAACCCACAAGGTATGGGAAGCAAAGGAAAAAGAACAAGCATATCAGGACATTTAGGTGGCATCATCCAAGWGACTAGAATTTTATTTTGCCCGCACCAGAACCCCTGTACAATGGTGGTAAGGGAGATTTGAGAATGAAGGGCCAGTAAGTTTTTCAAATTCCACCCCCCTCTCTCTTGCACTGGTGCCCCCCCCCCTCTCTCTCCCTGGGAGTCAAACCCAGTGCCTCACACATGCTAGGCAAGCACTCTACCATTGAGCTACAATGGCAGCCCCAAGTGGGGAGGGGAATAATTTGAACGTCTGCAGAGACTTTACTACTTTCTCTGCTGAGAGGGGGAAAATTCAGTTTAAGACAGGATAAAAACTAGTTTAAAAACAGGCAATGTAATGGAGTAAGTAGAGGATATTAGAAGAAAACTTAAATGAAAAGCTTGCAAATCAAAATTGCTTTGAAAAGTATCTGATAATCTTGGGTAATCAATTTATATTCAGCAGTGCTTTACATTGAGGCATTTAATATAAAATTGGTCATAAGTTAAAATTACTCTATAGGAAGGGTCAGAGTGAATGTTGAGATATTATACAAAGAAGTATGACAAAACTGATAATCATATTTCTTCTTTTATGCTTATTGTATAAGTTGCTTTAAGGTGGAATATTGTCTGCTTTGGTTTGCTATTTCATTTCTTAATCAGGTTCAAATTCCTGGGATAGGTTTTTATTTAATGCCAATGCTTTTAGTAGACAAAACTCTTTGGAATGCACTTAACAGAATTAAAAATCTTCCATTCACTTACTTGAATTCCAAAAGGTTCATTTCATGGCGATAATCTCCCTGGATCATCTTTAAATTTGAGGTTTGCTCAGAAGTGGAAGACTCTATCTTTCCTAAGAGCTGCATTACCTAATGAAAGTATAAGAGGGAGCTTTTTTGTGTATGAGAAAAGTCACCAGCACTTACATGAATTATGTTTTATTCCTAAAGGAGCCAGCAAATAGACTTGAACTGAAAGCATGTTTGCATTTGAAAATTACTTTTTTCAAATGAGTATGATTCACAGTTATAGTCACACTATTTTCAAGAAAAGAATAACGGGAAGTGCTCCATTTGCTGTGCATAATATTCTTTTATATAATAGGCTAAATAATGATATTAAAAACACACTCTTGACATTAGTTTATTTATTAATTTGACACCCTTTTTTTTTTTTTTTTTTTTTTTTTACTTTCTGTCTTTCTGTTTACAATGTAAGCAATTATATCCTTTCACCACTTTATCCTCAGGGCGTATTAGGTGTCTGGTTGTAAATAGTCAACAAATATTTAGTGAATAATGTTTAAATACACAGTTGGGCTCTGAGGAAAACACACATGACTGACCAACATTCAGGCCCTCTGATCTCCAGCTAGTATTCTGACATGACCATAAAAGAATCACAAGTGAAATGACTTAAGGCAYATAAAGATAGCGGGGGGAAAAGGTTCTGTTCTGAAATTTATGAATAGAATGCCTTTCACATTGCTAGAAGCATTAGAGAAATCCTTTAGGTACAAGAACTGGATTGAAAAATAGATGCAGAATTGCAGCACAGTGATTGTGTCTGAACTAATCGCTGTCAAGGAGAATGAAATAGCATTGACGTCGTACAAGCAAACTTCAGCTCCTGAAGAAGGTGGGCATTTGATGTAATCAGTGTTCTCTTAGCAAAAAAAAAAAAAAAAAAAGAGGTGGATAATGAAAGAGTTTGAAGAGATACATATTTCGTGGCCAAACAAGAGCATCTGAATGATTGTTTACTTTTAACAGGATGAAAGCAGAAATGTTGAAAATAAAGTAACAGGCTAATATATATCTGGGAAAGAAAAGGGAAAACAGGCAGAGCAGTCATAATGTTAGATAAAATATTATTCAAGACAAAATATGTTAGAAAGTGGGACAGAGATGCCAATTTTTATAGCCAAAGGGCAAAATCCTCAGTGAAAAAATAAAGAACTTTGGACCTTTTTTACTCTATATACTGAATTGGAAAGCAACAACTTTTTAGGATAAACTAACATGTTATATAATGTGATTTTTAATGCCTTTTTTGTTTCTTTACTGGGAAAATAAGTAAAATACTAATAAGGATGTAGGAAGATAGGAAAAATATAAATTTTATTTAATAGATTTATTTATCAAACCATGTAGCTTTCGAATAGCCAACACTTTCCCAGTGCCTATGARCATTTGCAGCAACTAAGCATGTGTGTGACTATAAAGAAAATTTCAAATTATTCCAAAAGGAAGGAAAAACATAGGTCATTAGCCTAACTATGCTACTCTAAAACCAGAAATTAATAAGAAAAGTATATGAAAAAGAAATAAAAATCCAGCCCCTTGAATAAAAAATATTCTTATAATTCTAGTGTTTATTTCATGTTTAACATGACATCTACTGCAAGGAGACTGCTGTACCCAAAAAAGATCAGCATGTGTCCAGACCATTCTTTTGCACAGGCTGCTTCCAGGAACTCCATGAACCGCTCGCTCCTCTTAGCATTGCAGCTAAAGACCTTCTTCCTGTCNCCCCCCCCCCCCCCCCCCCCCCCCCCCCCGCCACAGGACCCAGACCTGCTTGCAGACTAGGTTTCTTCCAGTCTCATACAGCTCTTTTCCTCATAGGTTTTCCCCTCAGTTAATCTCTTGTTCATCTAATCATCTTGTTCATCTAATTCCTTTATGGCATTGACTTCTCAAAGGCTTTGGACTAACACACATGTCAAAGAGTAAATTAACACTGCTATTACAGTTTAAGTAGGAAATGATAATGGGCACAGACAAATATATAAGCAGCATGTAACTACTTATAGGTAGTTGGTGCCCCTGGGTATTAAGGGTGAGTCAGAAAGCACAGATAATAAGTACAGATACTAAGCAGGGGCTTGTGAAGAGATGGCCTTTAAAATTCAGGCCAAAGGACTTTTGTATTTTTTATAAGAGACATAAACTATTGAAGGGTTTTAAACAGGGCTATAACATGATCAACTCACATTAATGTTGGATCTTTAATAATAATAGCTTCCTTGGGAAATGCCTGTTTATAATCCCTGGCTCCAGTCTTTGAGGGGAAGCCAGAAAATAAGCAAACAATGTTAACAGTGGAATCAGRCAGTCTGTGCTCACAACGAGCAGCAGTACTAGAATATAGGTGGCACTCATTAAATATTTGTTGACTGGACTGACTGTATGTATGCATGAGCTGTCAGATTATGCATTTTGGAAGAAAAGAGTTTTTTTTTTTAAATTACCACCTGTCTGGCCATTTTGATACGACATAATGAATGAGCTTACTTCAGGCAGTAACACATAGCATGAGTCCCATCTCTTTCCGATTACCTTCATATCCAAGTTCTTGGAAACAGTTTCTAGGGCAGACAAGAGGTCTTGAATTGATTTCTCCATTTGCCGGTACTCGTTCCTGATGAAGTGTATATCTCCAGAAAGCTTCATGATGCTTGAGTCACATCTAGTGCCAACATGGAAATCTATGTGAGTTCAACAGCCTTATAACATTTTAAATACTATAAGATCTGTGCATTCATTTGCTGACAAACGTTCTAAAGTTCTTTGAATAACATGTTGGTAGATGTAGCAGTATGTATAGGAACCTCCTTCTTCATTTTTTTTTTCTTCCTGATGGGAGAGAAACCAGTTTTTAAAACTCTTGCCCAAACTCAGAGCACCAAATTGGTATAAGGGAACATTGGAATAAATTGGGGAAATGTTTGCATTTTTAGCATTATATTAACTCATTCAAAGGACTTCTAGCAGATTTTAATTTTGTAGGGATACACCATGCTGTCTGTGGTTAGGCAAAATTGATAAAATGTCCTCTTCTTTATCATGTTTTGAATCCACTTTGCTCCCTTTAATCCAAGTTTTGAATCTACTTGGCACTCAGATTGCCWAGTTCTTCTCCTTTGGGTAGAAAAGGTGTCCCACCCAAACAAAAATCTTCTAATCCATTAAAACAAAAAAAGAAAAAGAAATTTTAAGAAAAGAAAAATCACCTTCTTAGCCCCAAACCTCCTCTTCCTTGAATGGTCTCAGTTAGCCTTTGTCTTTTATAGGGACAAAAATAATTCATATTAACATATAGATGAAGTTTTGGTCCATAGGTAGCATTTGATATTTTAGGGAGGGACCTCTGGTGAGATGGAGCTGAGTTGAAGACTGACCATTTTCCCAGCATGTCAGGGAAGAAAACACAGAGCCCTAGCCCCCTACCATCACCGAAGACCTCACTTAGGAGAGAGCAGTTTACATACTGCATTAGTGATCAGTTTCATTAAATGTTCCCTGAATTCATGACAGATAAAATGGAGAGCACTGAAGGACTGTGTCTTACATGTTTGAGTTATCAGAGAGCACTTTAACATTGTCATTTTATAAAATAACTTTATATAAATATAAGTAACTGTCTTCAGATAGTATTAGGAACTACATCTTCATGTTGCCATGCTAACTGCTACTAAGTTTGCATTATGACCATTGATAATTTTTGGGAACCAGAAATGAAATTTTTTTCTTAAGATTTTTGGTGCCAGAGAATTGAACTAAAGGTGGTTTAAGAAGGTAATTTTGCCTGAACATGCCCTTGAAGGGATGGATACCAGATGACTGGTGGTGGGAGCAGAGGCTACCAGAGAAAATATTAGGAGTCAGTCTTGTCAAGAATAGAAGCAAGATGGTATGCATGCAAGTCATGCCCCCAAACCATTTTCCATTTGTCTATGGAAAATGTCATTGTCAGAATTATACCTCTATTATTGATTAGTTGGAATATCTTTATGTGAGTCCATATTAAAATCCCCCCCAAATACATAGGAGTGTTTGCTGCTACCACTGCTTCCTGCTATCTCCTTCTATCCCTCCCTCACTCTCTACCCCTAGGGACAGCTGGTCTGTGTATTGGAGGCCACTGATCTCCATTGTCAGATTTGTCTTTGATTTCAGATAAGCCAGACTTTGAGTCTTGGCTTTGCTACTTCCTAAGTTTGTGATCTGGGACAAGTTTCTTCTATGAGTTTCAGTTTTCCTCATCTGAAAAAAAAAAGGAGGGGGAATAGTGATGCTAAGATCACTACACACAGTTGTACAATTCGTCTACCATGCAACTCCAGAGGGTGTCAAACACCTGGGCAACAGTGGACATATGTCTCAAGAGCATTGCGTGTTCAACCTTCAGAACTGAAGTGGAGGTCCTGAGAAGCACTACTTAGTAAAGTTATTCAAGGAAGGTGGTGATGAATATAAAGCATGTGGCCAGTACCTAGTGCAGAGGGAACACCCACACAAGATTAGCAGCTATTATTTATTAGTCATCTTGGAAGCTGCCACCTATTCATTCTCACCCCCCTGGCTTCCTCCACAAGCCCACCCATGCATGTTGAAGTGAAGGATTGTTAAGCAGCTTTTCAAACTGCATTCTGTCTTCCAAAAGGAAGTCTCTACCTCCTCTTTCTTTAGAATGGTTTTATTGTTTCTGTTAAAATAGTAACATGCCCATTGTAAAAAAATTCATATAATACCCMAAAAAAARRAARRAAAARRAAAARRAAAAAATAAAGAGTTAATATAATTTCAAATCCCACTTCTCAGAAATAACATTGCTAATATTTAATATTTGGTCACTTTTTAATATTTATTTTTGAACTCTGGATTGAACCCAGAGTCTCACGCATGGTAGGCGAGTGCTCTACCTCTGAGCCACAACCCCAGCCCCCCCACCCCATCACTCTCTTAATAATAGGGGTGTGTGTGTGTGCAATCATCCTTTGGTTTCTATAGGGGAATGGTTCTAGGACAGCCCCCAGAACCCTGAAGATACCCAATCCACAGATTTTCAAGTCTTTTATATTAATGGCATCCTGCCAAATACCTTATATTAGCTATAATAATAAATGCAATGTAAATGCTATGCAAGTAGCCATCATACTGTATAGTTTAGGGAATAATGACAAGAAAAATTCTTTATCTGTTCAGTACAATATGGAACGCTGGCTATATATTTCTTGACTATGAGAGATATTTGTTTCTGAAATAAAGAAGCTATAAAAAGTTATTGTAGATTGGAATTGTTATTTTTTTACAATACCAACTCAACTTTAGATATTATCTGTTGACCATATGAGAAAAATGAAGGAAATAAATTTATATACTTGTTCTTCAACAGTTCTGTGAATAGTTTGCTATTTTTAAATGCTAAATTTTATGATACTTTTATTATCTTCTATAACCAGAATTCCTACAGTTATTGAATCTTTATTCTATATTTAGATCTATGCTTATTAGCAGTTCTTCTAAATTATGATTCTTTTTCTGAAATTCCTTTTTTTTTTAATTCCTCAGTTGGCCAGATTTTTTCATCCAGATTTCAAAAGAAAGTGTCAGTAATGTTAAAATCCTTAGGAAAATCAGTTCTTCTACACTTGAAAGGTAAACATGGTAGATGTTGTTCCATTCTTTTCTGGTGCTGATTGAGATAGAGAAGTCTGAGGTGATTACACTTTTCCCTTCTTTTGTGTGATTTGCTTTGTCTACCTAGATCCCCAGTGATTCTTTATCCTTGATGTTCAGTAACTTCAACCAGGTTATCTTGGGTTAATTGTTCTTACATCAGGTTTTTCCAAGGAYATAGTTTTACCTTTTGATCTCTGTTTCCATTAAATTGTCTTCTCTTACATCCATGAAATTTTCTATGGTGTGTCAGTCATAAACATCCATATCCATTTTTATGTCAAAAGCATTTCTTGATGTGGTTTGCTCATGCTTTTTATTTTTTGAATGACTCTTTATTATTTTTAGATGTATTTATCCTGCTTAGGAGTTTCTAAAGTAGATTTAATCTCTAATATTTTCATTTTTTTCCTTTTATCTTATCCCTGAGAGATTCCAATTTATCTATTTCCTTTTGTTACATGATACCCTCTTTTTTTGGGGGGGGGAATCCTCTTATATCTCGTTTTTTATACATTTTTTTAGTTGTAAATAGACACAATACCTTTATTTTATTTGTTTTTTATGTGGTGCCAGGGATCAAACCCAGTGCCTCACACAAACTAGGCAAGTACTCTACCACGAAGCCACAACCCTGGCCCTTATACCTCATTTTTAAAATTAACTTTTTATCTTATCAAAGTAAAACATGCTTATAGTTTAAAAGTCAATAATAAAAGGCAAAAGAAAAAAACTATAGGAGTTGTCCCTTATCCAGTTTTACACTTCAGTTACTTGTAGTCAATCGTGGTTGAAAGTATTAAATGGGAAAGGGTGAGTACAGTACAATTAGGTATTGAGAGAGAACGAGAACACAGTTACATGACTTTTATTACAGTATATATGTTATAATTTATATTTATTATTAGTTATTAGTGTTAATTTCTTATTATACCTAATTTACAAATTAAACTTTATCATAGGTATGTATATATAGRAAAAGAGTATTTGTAGGGTTTGGTACTATCTGCAATTCTAGGCATCTACTGGCAGTCTTCAAGATGAGGGGAGACTACTTTACCATGGTTCCTGACCTTTCCCTGCTTCTCTTCAGTTCCTCTCCCTAGAGGTAATTGCCTCAAACCTTTTGAGATTTTTGTGGTGTGAAATGAAGGTTCTCAGCTTATTTATCCTACAGCTTTAAAGTTCGTTTTATGAAATCTGCTAAGGCAGTTTCCACAAGTCCTCCTGCTTTCTCATTTCCAGGGCTTCTGTGCTGATATCCCTTGTCCTTGTGGGGTTTATGTTTTAAAGAGAAAATCTTTTTACTGTAGATTTGGTGGGGGTTTTGGAAGGAGCCAAATTCCTCACAATTGTTCATACAATCTTTTATCTCTTTTGCTCTTAATTTCTTTGAAACCAGGAGAATTTTTGTATGACCTCTTTACTTTTCTGGCCAATTCCTTTCATGAAGTACATTCATTCTTTGACCTGTGTTTTTGTYTGTCTGTGTATCTATCCATCCCAGACTGATATGATAGTAGTGGAAGTGATTTTTATTCATGGGTAGATTCTGCCTATCACTATGACATCTGTGAATATTTCTGGCTGCTTGCAGAAAATTGGTGGGTAGGTTTGGTGGAGGGCAGAGACCATGCTCTGTTGAGTCTTGCAGTATCAAATCTGGTATTTCTTTAGATCTGAGGGTGGGGGCACTTCTCTCAATTGTCCCTTGATAAGACAGACTGGAGAATCTCATATCAAATGTAAGTCATAGCTTTTCTGTGGTGACACTCTTTCCTCTCCAGTTTCTCTCAGCTATGAGCTGGCAAGGAGGGAGTCCTAGATTAATGAAACAATAAAGAACACCACTGGATTTTCAGCTAAAGCTCCCCAGCTATTCTGCATTGTTGACCTTATCTCTAAAAGGACATTTCCTATCTCTTGACCCACCTAAGCCCCCAAATAGTATTGCTAAATTAAAATTATTTTGTGAGCTGGGTTTGTGGCTCAGTGRTAGAGTGCTTGTCACATAGGCGTGAGGCACTGGGTTTGATCCTCAGCACCACATAAAAAAATAAATAAACAAAATAAAGTTATTGTGTCCATCTACAACTGAAAATATTTTTTAAAACTTAAAAAAAATTATTTGGCCTATGCCTTTCAGGATTATGATTCTTGATTTTGAAGAAATCTTTGTTTAAGGTCTGAAAAGGACAGTGTCAGTCCAAACATCACAATATTTGGCAAGTGTGTTTTGTTTGTGGTTAATGATTGTGACAAATTCCATTTTATGCTAAAGGAGGTGTTTTTGTTTTCCTTTTATTTTTCAYTGGAATTGAGATATCTCAAGAGAAGAAAGTGGAATTAAGTGTATTCTGTCCCCTTTAGCCAGAAGTATCCCTTATCTTTTAAAAGTTGATGATATTTATAATATCATTGTTTCTTTARAGGACATGAGTTTGCTTTTAATCACACATCAACCCAATTTATCACTTTTAAAAATGCTATCTTGCTTTGGAGTCTAAAGAGTCAAATGTGGTAAGCAACTTGGCCTCCTCTGACTTCTGCTGCYGATTGTAAGCCATAGCCGTCCCTATCCATCCATAGGGATGTGCCCTTTGCACACCCACTGTTTCCTTTTTTGCACTTGAGACTCATCTATCAAATAGAGGAGAAGGTGTCAAGGGTAAGCTGAGAACCTCATTTCATTGGAAGTACTTGCTTTTAAACTACCACTATGTTTGGATGTGGGGAAAAAGTTATAAAATTCCAAGAACATTGTAGTTATTGAATATTGAGTCAGATTTATGAAGTGGCAAGGTGATTATTAGGAATTATTTTAAAATAATCAACTACATTTCACTTAATTTCAAAATGCTAATTGATATTAAAGTCACTAGATGTGGAGAGCCAGTAATCAATATGCCTTAGCTTGTCCATTAGTCATTTTGTCTGGCAAAAACACAGACAAGAAACAGGAGAAGAAGGATGAATTTAAGTCTCATGGCTTTCAGCCAGATTCTGTCTCAGATTTCCAAATAGATTTCAAAAATTTTCCATAAAAAGGGGACATTTCAAGGAAAACTAAGACCTTGTTCCAAAATCACTGCTTACAATTGAAGATGAAAATAAATAAGAAATTGGAGCAAGCTGGGTATAGTGACCCTCTCCTGTGGTCACAGCTACTTGGGAGGCTGGGGCAGGAGGATTGATAAGAGTCCAGAAGTTTAGGGCAACATAGCAAGACCCTGTTTCAAAAAATAAATAAATAAGAAATGAGCTGGGGATATAGAGCATGTGCTTAGCATGCACAGTCCTTGGGTTCAATTTCCAATATTGTCCCACCCCCTGCCCAAAACAAAAGGAAGAAATAGAGCAGAGCAAAAAGAGTTGTATATCTCTTCTTGATGTAATTCTATTGATCTCTGGGTTGCTTTTTAATCCATTTGTTCTTTTGTATGCAAAAAAAAGATTTATAAGAACAAAATAATAGGTTTGTAAATGACTCATGGCGAGTGTCATCAGCACACCACCAGCTTGTACCAAATCTTGCTTCATTCACTAATGATTTTTTTTCTTTTTTGAAGTTCTGGGATTGAACTCAGGATCTCATGCTTGCTAGGCAAGTACTCTACCACTAAGCTATATCCCCAGCCCACTATATTTCACTTAAAATGGATATTTGGTGTTTATCTTTTTGCAAAAACCTATCTAAGAAGAGTTGTGGATTTGCTCATGTTTATTTCAGTATCTTGCTTCATAACTCACCCAAATACTATAAAAATTCTTATGTATCAAGTATGAAATAATCGTATGTTTTAACMCAAATATTATAAAAATTTATTTATATTGAACATTATATAGTTACATATASTTTATTTATGTATTTACAGAAAATATTAATACAATAATTTGGTTTGTATAGTCTCTGGGTTATCAGTTAGTTTTCTTTGATGACAGTTTTCCAACCATGACTGTTATTCCCTAAACTGTATCTTCATTTTTAAGAGGAAAGAAGTCATACTTCAGAACTACACTATGTTTCCCAGAGCCACTATATCATTTTTATTATAGGTCAAGCAAAAGCCTGGGCCCACCCCCAGCCTCTACACCTTTGAGCACCATGCCCTTTATGGTTAATATCCCACAGGCTTCCCATATGGTACTGACCAAATACACAATTACCCCTTGACTCTCTTCCCATTTCCTTGTCAAAACTGTTCCTCATTTTATATTTCTGTTGAATAACATGAACATTCAACTGGTCCCCAAGACAGAAACTGTGGTAGCTATCCTGGACTCCTGYATTTTAACTCATTTTCCATGTTAATTCATGTACTAATCCTATAGATTCAATTTTCCAAATGCTCTGTTCTGGAACTGAGTGCCTGAGTTTAGGCCCTTGCCACCTCTCACCTGGGTTGCCTCTGGTCTCCATGCCCCCTTTCTGAACTCCCCCAAATCATCCCCTTACCTGAAATCCTCCCATGGCTATTTACAACCATCTACATAGTGTTCAGACACTGGCCCACAGAGTCACTCATATTTCAACTTTGGGCCACTTCTTGAACTTTTTCTCCCATCTCTTCTTGAATCATACTCTCAAATCCCATAACCCTAAAGAGTCTTCTCCCAGCCTTTCAACACACCACAATAATCTTTGCCTTGATTCTTTTCCATGTGTCATTCCTCCTTGATTTGAAGTGTCTTTCCCACCCCTCCTTGTATACCTAACTGCTACCAGTTCTTCACAATCCATCTCGAATGTCACCTCATCTCCCTCCCCTGTCTGTCTGGTTGGATATTCTCACAGCACCCCAGGTTTTCAGCATAGTGTTGCTCTATCGATGACCTTCAAAACTTGTTCTGCTAGATAGATTGTGAGCAGCTACAGAGAGCAGGTTGTGTTGCTGAAATTTAGTACAATGCCTAGCTTATAGTATTTAGGTTTTTTTTTTTTAATTGAATGGATGAATACCCTGGAGTAATGTTATTGTTCAAATGTGTCTCCTTCAGAATTCAGGTGTTGCCAACGTGAGAGTATTAATAAGGGAGGAGGTATTTAAGAGATGAGTAGGCCCTGAGAGCTCCTCCCAGATCAGTGAGTCCCTTATAGAAGAGTCTTCACACAGCATTTGAAGAATTTTCCATTTCACTAGTTTTCTCTGATGTGTGAGGAGACAGTGTCTCTCCCCTCTGGAGGATGCAGCCCTCACCAGACAACTGAAACTTCGGACTCCCTTGTTATATTTCTCTACCTTCAGAACTGTGGGAAAATAAGTTTTGTTTTTTATAAATTACCCATCTTCCGGTATTTTGTTATAGCAGCATAAACAGATTGAGAGACTTGACTTTGTTGTCAATCACTGAATTCTCATTTGGTCTTTTATACTTCAGAGAAGATTAATAAGATGGAAGTGGGGGTATTTCAGGAGAGAGGAAAGAGTTTCTGGCAGAAGATGCAGAGATGGAGAGTATCAGTGGTAAGCCATTCACAAGTACTGCCAATGCTTAACAGATTTTTTTTTTCTGAATTTCTTAGTATTAACTCTTGATTTGAAACTCTCATACAAAATCTGTTATTCAAAACTTCATCTGGTTGGCAGAAAATCTCTTTGATTAGACTGATAACTAGTCCTTGTATATTTTAAATGTTTTACTCATTAGAACCTGACAAATGGATATTTATATGTGGTTATAGGTTGTGTATGGCTGTTGGCACTTGGGCAGTTGTGGGTTGTGAAGACAAGACTCCAGTCACTTCCAGTGAAACCAAACTGGATATTCTATATAAGGGGTCTTGAATACAACCTTGGGTCTTTCAAAGTTCTAAAGACATTTTCTCAACTACTGTTTCATCAGTTTAGCTTAATATAAAGTCAATAACTTGTTATCTAAACTATGGAATTTATTTAGGGATGAGAATTCAATGGCTGAGAACTGATTGTTAAACATGAGTTAACATGTTTCTTCTCACCTGGCTACTCTTCCCCGAAGGTCTCCAACTCCTTGCAGGTGTTTGATGTTTAGATCCTGCACTGCGAAATTAGTTCCTGTGGTCACCTGATCTCGAGTTCTTATTTGGTCTTCTAAGACCTGAAATTTTGAGTTAAGATGGCAATTAATATTCCATCACACATGGTAAGAAAACTTCATCTGAAGCAAATGGATTTTGTGGTTAGGTCCAGGTRGTAAAGGAGTGCAAGAGGCTGGTCTCACAGAATTGATCTTGGTTTATCTGGAGGAGGCAGCTATGGTTTGATTGTAGCTGATTGTGGCCAGGTGGGAGCAACATCTCAYTAGTGTTTCAACAAAAGCTAGAAAATGAGACTTTATGTAAAAATCTCAATTTTAAAATATTGGCATGTTGTTAAAAATCTTTAAGCTCTATATAGGCCAAACAGAACATGTTTATTGGTTTGATTTGGCCATAAGTTGCCATTTGGCCATCATTAATATAAAAATTTCTCACACACACACAAACATACACACACAATTTCAGTGTGGATGATCAGATTTAAAAAGAGATTTTTATTCAATGTGGCATCAGTCAAGTTCTTTTTTGTTGTTGGTTTGTTTTCTGGTGCTGGGGATTGAACCTAGGGCCTTGTGCATGCAAGGCAAGCACTCTGCCAGCTGAGYTATGTCCCCAGCCCAGKCAGGGGCTTTATGRATTGAATCAGAACCACGWCAAAGCTAACACAACTGACATAAGCCAATCTGAATCAAACCATTTCATAAACATGGAGTGAAAGGGGTTTATTTTTTCAGATTTCTTGAGAACACAAAAGGTTTATGGCATATGTGCTTTCRGATTGTGTCATTGAGTATTGTTAATTATTTCTCTCATGGTATTTTGGAAATGAAGCTGTCTTTCCTATATTGCCAGATTGGTGGTCCTGAGAACAGTGGTTTTTATTTTTTGTACCTGTTTATGAATGTTAATTTTAAAATTGAAAAAAAAATGCCTATCCATAGAAAAAAATTCATTTTAGTTGACATTCAAATTCCAATGTGAAGTGTTGACATATACTTTTTTGTTGTTATTGAGAAAAGAATGAGAGCATAGAATTTCAGAAAACAAACAAATTTGGATTTGGGGAAACATTTGAGTTTATTATATTTGACAAAGTTCTGAACTACATTTAAAATTATGTTTATGAATTATGCTAGGTAGAGTAGGATTTTTTATCAAATGTATTACAGKAATTTCAAAGGCCAAATACAGATCTTTCCCATTTTTAAATTGGCAGACTGAGAAAACCCAAGAGCAAATAGAGCCTAAGTTGAAGATATAAAAGTGTGAAAAACATTAGCTAGAGTTTGTTTTTTGCCTTTTCTCATTTATATGTAGGTTTTTTAAATTAAAGAACAGTGATGAAGGTGAACTTGTTCTATGATAGAATGAAACATTTTGTATAAGAAGCAAATCAGTATAGTAATAGTATGTTGCCAATGAGTTCAATGTAGTGTAATAATGTCCTGTAATGTAATTGTGTCATGAAGACCTTGGTAAGTGTGAAAATACTATGCATGAGACTAACCAATCAGTAGGGGAGAAATTTTACAAATGGTGTGGGATCATTTAGGTATTTACCTCATGTCATATTGATATAGATTTTAGAAAAACTGAATAAAACTATAAATTGAAATTAAGCCATAAGAGGAGGCTGGAATGTAGCTCAGTGGTGGAGTTCCTGCTTCACATGTGTTAATCCCCAACTAGGTTTGATCCCCAGCATCACACACACACACACACACACACACACACACACACACACAAATTAAGTCAGTAGAATAACAATTAAAAGATGATATTATTTCATTTCTGAAGACTTTTCTCTTCTCAAAAGTAATAAGAAGCAAAATATTTGAGTGCTTAAGATATTTTATATTAAACTTGTTAAACATTATAAATACAATTAAGACATTAAAAGTAAGCTTGAAAAACATTAATAACAAATGTTATTGCCAAAGTTTCATTAGTGTTCTGCAATCAGCATGTACCTGTTGGTGAGAGAGAGCTGATGCTATTCGCCTTTCCCCACCTTTGTGTTCAGCRTCATCACAGTGGTTATTTGAAATCATAGTGGGAGTATTTACACCATGCAAGTAGGTAAACACCACACATCAGGTTTTTTTCTCCCCAGGAAAAAAAAATTCTTATTGTTAAACATTTATCATTGTACCACTGGTTAATATCTTTAATATGTAAAAGAGTTCATCAAATCAACAAGAATTTAAAAGTGCTAAAACTCTCAAAGACAAATTGGCAAAAAAACATGAGCAGAATATTGGCAGAGGAAATATAAAATTTCATAGTCATTTTTAAAAAGTGGATTCAAAACCTTCAAGAAAAAAACAGATCTCATTTTTTTGTCCTATGAAATTAGCAAAGATTAAAACAATAAATCTCAATGCTGGCATAGGCCCAGTGAAAAAAATCACTCTCATATAATGCTAATGAAAGGATAAACCAGTATAATCTTTCTGAAAACCATTTTGGSAACACATATCAAGAATTTTCACAGCATTTATATCTTGGTAATTCTATTTCTAAGAATATATATTATGGAAATAATCCAAATGCAGATATATACTTAAGCACAAAGATATTTTAACATTAAGAATAATAAAGCAAATCATGGTATATGCTCCATTTGAGGAGTTTCTAATGACATGAAAGGGTTTGTGTTATAATTTTATGTTAAAGACTGTGCTAACAAAAATAGTTTCAGCCTCCTAAACAGAATACTTACAAGAGCTAGAGGGAGATATATCTGGATGTTTTCGGAGATTGACATTTCATGGTGGAATTGTGAGAAATTTTTTTCTCAGGTTTTAAAATTTCTTCCTGAACTTCCAAAATAATTACACAGAACAAGAATTGCTTCTATAAATTGTAGCGGGGGATCCACAATAAGGCAATGTTATACAAAAAAAAATTTCTTTTTTTAAGTTAAAAATGTTATTTTTAAGACATAATTAATAGTCTGCTTTAAAAATCATTTTCTTTTAAAAAGAAACAAGCAATGTAACTGTTGCAATTATGGTAATCTAAAAAAATTATTGTTTTATTCCTTTTAAGAACCTGAGTCAAGTTTTAGTTCACATTTGGATCTATCTTGCTGGCTGGTTTACAAATGGACTAACTAGGTTGCTGAGTTTAGGTGCCATTAAAATATTTGAATAGCATTGATTTCTCTATAAAGTGCTTATTACTTATAGTTTTAGTTTTTCACTAAGGGTAACCAAATAATTTCTACTTCATAATGTTTTAACAGTGTTATCTAAAGCCTTTAAAATGTATTTTAAATTTAGTTTTCCACATAAATCAGCCCTCCTCATTTTCTCTAATCATGTCAAACCCTTAAGAGGACTCAAATATTTTGAGGTTTTATAGTTTTTTGGAAAATGTTTTGGCTTTGTCTTTTTTTTTAAAGAACTAACCTTGGCCAGGTGTGGTGATGCACGAATGTAATTCCAGCAACTAGGGAGGCTGAGACAGGAGGATCTCCAGTTCAAAGCCAGCCTAAGCAATTTAAGAGGTACTAAGCAACTCAGTGAGACCTGTCTCTAAATAAAATACAAAAAGGGGCTGGGGATGTGGCTCAGTGGTTAAGTGCCCCTGAGTTCAATCCTGGTACCAAAAAAAAAAAAAAAAGAACTAATCTAATTTTTATTTTTAGTTATACATGGGCACAATATCTTTATTTTGTTCATTTATTTTTATGTTGTGCTGAGGATCAAACCCAGGGTCTCACACGTGAGAAGCAAGTGCTCTACTGCTGAGCCACGACCCCAGCCCCAGATAATCAATTATTGTAGGAAAAGAAACACTAAAAGATACTAGAGATATAGAATATGTTTTCCCTTTTAATACTAAGAGTATTTTATTCAGGTATAATTAATATTGAAATGCACAAATCAAAGTGCACAGCTGGATAGATCTTGACAAATGTGATCAACTATGTAACAATGACCCAGGTCAGAATGCACAATATGCTTAGGAACATTTTGGTGAGAATGTTCTTTTCAACTACCAAGATATTTTGATCATGTATTGGAATCTTATTTTAGTGCTAGCGCTATATTTACTTGATTTTCTTTCCTTTTTAAAATTATTTTTCTTAGTTGTTGATAGATCTTTATTTTATTTATTTATACATGGTGCTGAGAATTGAACATGGTGCTGAGAATTGAACCCAGTCCCTCACACATGCCAGGCAAGTGTGCTACCACTGAGCCACAGTCCCAGCCTTTACTTGATTTTCTGGTCATTTCAAAAAACACAGAGCTGCTTGCCTCTTGACACCTTAGTGACACTGTCATGTCTGGAATCACCTTTGGTCAATTGACTTTGCAGGTACCAGGGTCAATTCAACATGAACTTAATACCACTAATATACCTTTTGAAAAATCAACTAATAGTTTTTAACGCTCCATATTTTCTCAGTTGCATCATGGAGTCTGCTAGACCCTGCAGATAGGAAATAAACTCATAAATATCCTCTACCTCAAAGATAAATTCATGAGCAAATCATTCCTGGGTTAATTCCATGGTTAGTATTTAATGTTTTGTTGTTGGTGGTGGTTTATTTGTTTTTAATTCATATTCTCACTGATAGTAGAAAGCTAAAGGGCATTGTTATTTCTCATTATTCCACATTTTTTTTGGCCAGGTTCCTAAAGTGTATTACTGGAACCCTTGCCCAAAAGTTGTTAACCCTGATTCATCATGCATGTGTACTTTAAAAACTCTGGAAGATAATATCTTGGTTTAGACTAAGAATTTTCTTTTTTGATCAAAAATCTTATTTTTCCTTTAAAACCTTAAAAATTACCCATATTCTCAAGAATTTAGAGTGCTGCCTACGTGCCAGACACTGCTGTTGACTTACTAGTGAATTAAGCAAACTTCCTGCACTTATGGAGATTATATTTTAGAGGAAGAAAACAACCAATAGACAAAAATAGATTGTGCTAAGTACTATAAAAGTAGAGTTTAAGGGAGATTGAAACTGTTGGGCTGAGGAGGGGTGCTATCTTACACAGTATGAAGGAAATCTTCTCTTTGAAGATGGTTTAASCAGAGACCTGAAGGAAATAAAGAACATGTCATAGTGGAGGAAGATGATCCAAACTGAATAGAAGGGAATAATTGGGAGACRAGCATGGCCAGACTGAAGGAGGTGGGTGGAGACGGAGTCAGAGATTGCTGGTGGATTTRTGAACCAGCATGTTGTGTATTATGAATATCTCTGTTTGGAATCATGACATTAATAAATCATGGAGATTTAAACTAAGAGTTTCTTAACATAAATATGTGGTATAATGTTAAATAGATCTTTGCCAATACAAGATAGATAGACAATAAATAGTTTTTGAATGGAAGTTCCTTCTACTTTTCAGCATAAATGAGTAGTTCAAAAATTAAACTGTTTTCCTCTGAGGCAGCTATAATCATTTAAACAGAAACAACAGCAACACATTTCTACAGTTGAAAAATGACATTGGTGGTTGATAATTTTTTTGTCAAGCAATGATGCCAATATGTGAAAGAGAACTACCTCAATGTTTTGGTTGAGTTTTTTGACGATGCTAGTGATGGTCTGTATATGGCTTTCTAGTAACTTCCTGGCAAGTAATTCCTCTTTTCGAAAGCCGTGGGTCCCTTGGAGACAAGAAGAGATGTCCTCCTTGATGCGGAAGGCTTGTTCAAGGAGGAACGCTATGGTGCGCTCCTGGTTGTTCAGTCTGTCTTCCAGCTGACTTTTCTGGGTGTTTTGGATGATGGGAAGAAAAGGACGGCCCCTGGTCAGGAAAAGGAAATACCAGGGGTGTTACAAGAAYGAACTGGATGAGCCAGGAACCAGAATGTGCCTCCTCATGCTACTCCTTTATTTTCTCACCTGTGAGAAACTTGATAGGACTTTAAGTTCTCACAAGGTTAGAATCTTGAGTTTATGTCTTGTCTAAGAAGCAATCTGACTTTTGCCTTGATTTCATATCATGCATTTTTCATGTTTCCCAAGGAGGAATTATTCTATATACAATGACAGTAAAATTTTAAGACAAATTGGTAGTGGTTGGGAGGAAATGGGGGRTCCATAAAAGATAATACTAGAAAGCTTTCCCCATGATTTCTGCCTTTATATACACTTGCATAAAAACTCAACTTTAATCTAAAAAATATCTAAATTCTTATATGTATAAAAGTGCAAAAGTGACTATATTAGAGTTTCCCAAAAGGTATGTCTTAGAATAGTAGTTAGTAAACTAATAGGCCACTGCACAAGAATTTTATGGTCAAATAAATTTGGAAAACATTGTATATCACATCCATCTTTTGTGACTTACAACATGTTTATCACATTAATGTCTAATTGTATTGTTTTTGTTTGGATATGAAGTATCTCTCAAAAACTTCAGTGTTGGCAGCCGAGTTCTACAATAACTTTAAAAAAAGAACTAATAGTAATACTCTTCAATTTATTTAAGGAAATAGAAAAAGAGGCAGCACTTCCAAACTCATTCTATGAGGCCAGTATCAGCCTGATTTCAAAACCAGGCACAGACACATGAAAAAAAGGAAACTTCAGAYCAATATCTCTAATGAACATAGATGCTAAAATTCTGGCAAATTGAATACAAAAACATCAAGAAGATAGTGCACCACGATCAAGTGGAGTTCATCCCAGGGATGCAAATTTGGTTCAACATACAGAAATCAATAAATGTAATTCATCACATCAATAGACTYAAAGATAAGAATCATATGATCATTTAAATAAATGCAGAAAAAGCATTTGACAAAATACAGCACCCATTCATGTTCAAAACCCTAGAAAACCTTGGGACAGCAGGAGCATATCTCAACATCATAAAGGCTATCTATGCTAAGTCTCAGGCCAACATCATTCTAAATGGAGAAAAATTAAAGGCATTCCCTTTAAAAACTGGAATTAGACAGGGATGCTCTCTTTCACCACTTCTATTGTTTAATAGTTCTTGAAATACTGGCCAGAGCAATTAGACAGATGAAAGAAATTAAATGGATACACATAGGAAAAGAAGAACTCAAATTGGCACCGTTTGCTCATGATATGATTTTATACTTAGAAGACCCAAAAAATTCCACCAGAAAACTTCTAGAATTAGTAAATGAATTTAGCAATGTAGCAGCATATAATAAATACCCCTAAATCGAATGCATTTCTGAATATCAGTGACAAATTGTCAGAAAGGAAAATTACCCGATTTACAATAGCCTCAATAAAAGTAAAATACTTGGGAGCCAACTTARCAAAAGAGGTGAAAGACTTCTAAACAAAAACTACAGAATGCTAAAGAAAGAAAGAAGATCTTAGAAGATAGAAAGATCTATCTTGCTCTTGGATAGGCAGAATTAATATTATCAAAATGACCATACTACCGAAAGCACTATACAGATTTAATGTAATTCCAATCAAAATCCCAATGACATTCCTCATAGAAATAGAAAAAGCAGTCATGAAATTCATCTGGAAAAATAAGAGATCCAGAATAGTTAAAGCAATCCTTAGCAAGAAGAGTGAAGCAGGTAGCATCACTACACCAGA